ACCTGTCGGCGTGCCATTCCCTTTAGGTTCCTTTAATTCCCAAAGGTCCCATTCCCAAAGGTCCCTTTAATGCAACCAAGAGCTCCACATTAAACAAAAACATGGAAGACGCTTGAACTTTACATTCAAGAGTAGAATGCAATATCGTGGCTTCGCTCAGTTTGCGTCCCCTTCAAGATCGTCAAGATCTCCATTGTTCTCACAGCTAAGTGAGCACCAATAGAACAACCACATAAGTGCATTTCATGTTTTTCCCATTCAGTTAATATGAACTGCACACAATGCTGGCTTGTGATTGTTGTACAAATGCCCTCAATGATTACTGAGGCAAAGCTGTGCCTAATTCTGAGCAAAAACCCGGTCAATGATGCAATGACCCAACGTGCCTGCGTTCATTTAACCCTGTCGGACAGCAAAGATACTGCCATAAAGCATAAACCTACTTTTACTGGCATCTTCTGAAATGGATGCTCTGGCACAATCTGCCGTTACATTTTAGCAGTGCATATTGAAAGAACCTAGGTGAGAAACGTGACAGAACGCAAAGGCTGCATTGGCTGGCTGCCAAACATCAATGTTGAGAAGTTCTGAAACTAAGCTTTCTTTTTTAACGAACCACTAACTCACTTTCTACAATTTTTTTTTCCTATAACATCTCTATTCTAGAAAATTCTGCTACGACTGCTTTTGTAATCTTTGCAAATCTTGTTGCGGTGAGATGTGCCTGGTTTTCACATACACTCAAACCTCACTATAACGAAGTTGCATCTTACACAAAATTTGTTTGTTAATTGTGAAAATTCATTATAAATTTATATTCCTAGCACTTTATTGCAAGAGTATTTATCGTTACTTTGTTAAAACCGATATTTTCTTATACAGTGAAATCTTCGTAGAACGAACCCAACGTTAACATACTTCTATTAAGGGGAGATGCGGGTCGAAAAATCGCGTTTTTTGCGAAAATTTCCACTTTTGAGATATTGCTTCTAAAATCACTTTTGATCATTCAACTATCATTTCCCCAAAGGTCATAGCTGAATTCAAACGAGAAAGTGGTAAAAAGTCGATCTGCGCTAGTGAAGGTAGCTGCCGAAGTCGCGAATTCACGCATCCGACGGCTATTTTTGAAAATCCGCCACTCGGCAACACGATGACGTCCGCCATCGGGGTTTGTTCGGTGGTGTAGATCAAGGCTCCTTCTAGTGTACAGGCGTCCCCCTAGTTTCGTATTTTAGTGAGGAATTTCACAAAACAGTCGTTTCCAAGTCGGTTTGCAGCCAAGCTGCAGCCGCTTCGCGCATCTCTACCGGTCACATGGTACGCTACCGAGGCCGCCATTGGCTACATCTGATCGGCCTCGCTCGCTGAGCGCTTGCGACGATCGGCACTTGCCGTGCGTTTCTACGTTTTTCCGAGTTCACCATGGATAACTCGAAGAAGCGAGACTTCCGAGCACGAAAGTTTGCAAGCAAGAACAAGTACCAAGGGCGTCGACGTAAACCGAAGCGCAAAGCAGCGGTAGAAGAATGCGAGCCGCGGGCCACTAGGCCTAATCAAGGCAGCGGGGATACGGCGGCTTGCGGGAACTTTGACGAAATCGACGCCGCGATCAAGTTCATCAGCGCATCAGAAAAAAAGATTGAACAGTTCGAAAGCGAAAGAACGAAGAGTGTTTGTGGCTCTGTGAGCGGAGTATTTTGTGACATCGGCGCACTGACATCGATGGTAAGCCGTGCTGTTTGTCCAACATGCCACACCGCTGGACTCGTCGTTCGCGACACCGCAAGTAAACGTAAGGGCCTCTCTTCGTTCCTCGAGCTGCACTGTGATAACAGTGAGTGTCCTGAGTCAGTGGTTTCTGCCGCGCATAGTTCGCGGCGTGTTCTGCCGGAAAGACAGCCCACCGATGCCGGTGATGACTGGAGCTACCGAAGCGGCAGCTCGCGTGACAGCTTCGCTGTCAATGTGAAGGTAGTTGTGGCTGCGCGTGCAATAGGCATTGGGCATGAACAGCTGTCGCGTTTTTGCGCTATTCTTGGACTGCCAATACCTATGCATCATAAGACTTTTATTGCAATTGGCAAAAAAGTTCATGCTGCAGCTACCAAAGCTGTGCAAGAAAACCTGGCGAAAGCGCGGATGATAACTAAAGAGAAAGTGGATGGGGCTGATGTTGCTGTCATGTATGATGGCACATGGCAAAAAAGAGGGCACAAGAGCCACAATGGCATCGGCACTGCTGTGTCTGTGGACACTGGTTTGTGCCTAGATTTTGAAGTGCTATCGAATTACTGCCTTGCCTGTAGCCGGCACCAGGACTTGGGTGATGAGGAAGAAATATGGCAAGCATTCCACACACCTGTCTGCGAAAAAAATACAGAGTGCTCCTCTCATGCCATGGAGACTGAGGCAGCTTTGCGCATATGGGGCAGGACATCCTCATACACAACACCATTGCGCTTCACCAAGTTCCTCAGTGATGGGGACAGCAAAGCTTATACCGCTGTCGCTGAGGCCAAGGTATATGGTGAAGCTGTTGTGGACAAGGAGGAGTGCACAAACCATGTGGCCAAGCGTCTAGGCACTGCACTTCGGAAACTGCCAACAAGACTTCCACGAGGGGAAAAGCTGACAGATGGCACAATTCAGAAGCTGCAGAACTATTACCGTATTGCAATCACAAACAACAGAGGTGATATTCTGAAAATGCATCGTGCCATCTGGGCCTCATATTTCCATTCATCATCGAGCAACACAGCAGGCAGCCACCGATACTGTCCAGAAGGGGCGACTTCCTGGTGCAAGCATAAGCGAGCTGAAGCGCTTGGGGAGGCCCCACCCGACCACACACCAATCTTGACCAAGGCTCAAGGATTGGCTGTGCTTCCCATTTACAAGCGGCTCACAGATGAAAAGTTGCTGGTGCGTTGTATCCAAGGGAAGACCCAAAACGCTGCAGAATCTTTGAACAGCAAAATCTGGTTGTTGTGTCCGAAGACTAAGTTTGCCTCCCGGACAACAGTGGAAACTGCAGCTGCTATGGCCGTGTTGTGGTTCAATAAAGGACATTCAAGCTTTGAACACGTGCTAGAGGAGCTTGGTGTAGTCCCACCGGATCAACTGATCACCCTGGGCCAATCCCGCGACCAGAGGAGAATCGAAAGAATGTCTGCGTGTGAAACAGCCGAGGCAAGGGCCCATCGGCGGAACGTGGCAAAGAAAGCGCGCCTTGATGACTCCCTTCTCAAGCGGCGAGAAGGATCCACATATGGAGCAGGACAATTTTAGGTGCTCTAGCTGTGTCCCTTCTATGATATCACCAAGTTTTGTGCAAATCGCACTGTGTAATCATGAGTAAACATATTTACAACTTTCAAATGCATTTTTCTCGATTTCCATTTTGAGGTAATTCTCTCATCTTGTGCACAATCTTTTTTAGGCATAAAATAGTCCTATCTTGATGAAATTTTGCACAGAGCTTAATCAGCCACTCTAGAATACAAGTATCTACTTTAGGTTGCATTATACATCACAGATTTTTTGTTACACAACTTGATACACTGATAGAGAGATGTAAAATATGCATTTAGTTCTTTTAATTTTTTTTTTTAATGTAGCAAATAATTTTCTGTTTGAGGTACTTTTCTGTATTGTACTGCTCAAGTGCAGCAGAATGAGCCATTTTGCAATTCTGTGTGAAAATTTTTAGTAAGCTTTATTATGTGCACAAAAAACACTATATTTTGATATCAAAGTTGTAGTAACTCCGGAACTACTATAGCTATCAAACAAATAATTGCAGTTATGAAATCAGCACTGCAAGCTTTACTAACACCTAAAATTTCAAGGAGCTGGATTATGAAATAAAAAAAAACCTTTTTCGAGTAGCATCTCCCCTTAAAGAACTTTTGAAAAAATCCCATGCCGACTCCTAATAGTTTCAATGTAAAATTATTTCACTGCTACGTACCTCGGAATACCAAACTTTTCAGAATAACGAGCGTTAATTTAGCTCCACATTATATAAACAACGCCTCAGTACTATGAAGTCATGTTCTGAAATCTGTTGCGACCACCGGAGCGGTATGCAAGCAGACGACAAAGCAGACGGACGCCTTGCTTCTCGGAAGACGTGCGATGGTGCAGTGAGGAAAAAACGAAAGGGCGACTTTCTTTCTTTTTTTTTATTGAAACGCAGACGCTGCAGGTTTACAAGCACAGAGGCGAGGGCAACACGAGAGGGCAAGGTCAGTGGGGCAGAGTGGAAGTTGCGGAGCAGGAAGCATGGGCGCAGAAAACCCGAGACAGCTAGAGAGCAGAAAACAAAACACGAGAAATTTTCTTTTTTAACGCTTTTTTTCTTCTTCGAAAAAGGCAATGACAGCCGCCACGCTTCGGGCCTTTCTTTCTTTGTCACTCATACATGTGCTTTAGGAGGCCTTGTTTGTCAGTCGTGTTCATCTCTTTTCGGTGATTACTTATCGCGTCCGCAAAGCAAGTCTGCATTCGCGCTGCGGTCGCTACTACAAATGAGTTCATCTCTGCTTGCGACGAAGAAGTGGAAGCAGTTTTCGTTAAGCGAGAAAGTGGATATTCTTCGGCGACTTGAAGGCAGAAAGCAGGCTACTGTGACCAAAGAACCGAATCGCACCACAGGAATGTGAATAAGCTGGAGGCCTTCAGCGCTGCAGTTTGTGCTGCTCGCATCAAAAAAAAAAAAAAAGATGTCTTTAAAGTAAACGTGCATTTTTTTGTGTTCACTAGTGCGTTTGTTTTTTCTCGTGAAAAACAAGTTCAAGGACCCACCATTGTAAAGTTAAGTCGGTTTGGTCGGCTGAAAATAAGTACTTATGGTTAATTTTAGGGCTTTCACTATAACGACCTTTCAAAATAACGAACGAATTGCCGTGGCCCCCTGAAGTTCGTTATACCAAATTTCACTGTATCCGGGTTCATTATATCAAGTTATGGTAGTATGTGGATGGTAAAGAACTCACAGCCTGATGTCATCCATAGGGGTCTGAATGTTGCATGGGTAGGCAGCACTGCTGCTGGCGTTCCGCCATTCACTGTACCGGAACTGGTGCAGGTGCTTGACCATCATTCGCACTATGAGCATATGAAGCTGGCTGGGTACAGCACAATCCTGCCAAGACAACAGAATGGTAAAAAAAAGAAAACATGAGCCCCGCATTTTTCATTTCACACAACCATCATTTCACGTGAAATGTAGCACATACGAATGTGCTACACAGCGCCTTCCACAGAACTGTGCACCATATTGCTAATCAAAGGGACAACTCTGGTTAAATCCAACAAATTTCTGATTCCCTCGGAGCTCAAGTAATTAAATTCGAGTACATTTGGTGAAAACAGCTAATATAGAAGTCATTTAAAAATGACTAAGAACTTCTCATTGACTTCGTGACAACTAGTTCGGTACTCCTCAAGTTACAACATTTATCATGTTGATTAGGCCACACAAGCAAAAAAAAAACGTAAAATGCTAAAGTGTCCCCCTTCTAAATTTCAGTGATCAACCTCTGGTGCACTCTGTATTGTGGATTTCATTACACTGATGTTACTTGCATTGTGGTTTTACTGTATGTGAAATACAGCGAGTCTTTGTTAACCAACACTGATACATTTGTTGTTAGTACGGCTGAACCCCTTTGTAAAACACAATGAAGACACAAATGGAATGAAAGACACGAGTGTACTTGCACTAAATATAGGGGTTCGTGAGAAAATGAGACCATGGTACCCCTGCTCTTAAGAGGCAAGAATCGCTGACTAGTGCAAGTCCCTTACAAAGGGGTTAACTGTGCTGAGATTTCTATTAAACTACAGAATCATATTCACATATATTTCGCCTCTTATCTGCAATACTTGTCTCAGACACTGGTCAATAGTCCTGTCCTTCTGAAGCTTTCTTCGTTACGTACTATTCGGCACACATCCGAGCTCCTTAGCGCTGACTGAACTCACCTCAGTCGTGCTGAAGGTGTGGTGAAACGACACGGAAGTGGGTGCAGCACCCGGACTTCCGTAAGGCGACGCAGCACCCGCCGGAGTCCTGCTGAACACGGCTGTGGCCACCTGCTGCCGGCCCAGCCAGAACTCGAGCAGGACCTCCAAGAAGGTCTCAGAGACGCGTGCGTGAGGGTCGCTGCAACCCACTGCCGGCAATGGCGATGACGTGAGGATGGGAAACCCAGAGGGTGGTGTGGACACCATGGTCGTGCCGTAGTGCCGTGGTGGAGTGGACGGGGAGTAGTTGCTCATGTTGCCGGACCCCGAGTAAATGCTCTGCAGGATGTCTTTGCGGATCAGGCACGGCTCGTTGTTAACATGGCGGTGCACGACTCCGGCAGCAGTGCTGTTCGGGCAGATCCTGCCCGGAGATGACATCCCATTCCAGAAGACGTTGTCTCGCTCTCGGTAGAGGGGACTAGGAATTGGGTGAAAAAGCACAGAAACCTCTGCATATGATCCAAAACGCAGGAGGTGGTAAATCGAGCAGAAGAAGTCAATGAAGAAATGCTCTGCTCGTGAAACCCTCATCTTATTCCCAAACGATAGCTGTAGTCTATCTTGAAATCACTTCTTTGTTATAACACATTGAACTTGCTAGAGCAGAACCTTGTTAATGTGTGTCTAAAAAAAAACAAAAATAAACCTAATACAGTCACACCCAGATATATCAAACTCAAAAAAAAAAAAATGCCTATCAGTTTGATATAGGACATAATTCTATATAAACCTGCTAAAAATTTGGACGTCATAAATTCACATATCATTCATAAAAGCACTTTATTGATGAAGCTAGCTTAGTTGTGTATGAAGCAGTCCTCCATTTTTTTTTATTTGTAACAGCACGCATTTCTCAACATGGTCTAAAGAGTCGGAGCAGGCGAGGCCGAAACTTTCCACATTCGCGCAGAAGCTCTAGACCAGTGCAAGAGCAGCAATCGCCTCCGAGGACGTGGGCAAAGGATTGTCATTGCTTTGGTCATTATGCCCGCTTTCACATGTGCCCGGTACGATGTCGGCAATGTAGTCGTTTTCGAGCTCCCCCGAGGTCGCGACATCATCCCTTGTGCCTCACAGACTTGTCGACCATTGACCTGTCAACAGGATCCGGAAATTTCGACAGCTCGTTCCAAACTCTGGCAACACCAGCAATGGCTCCTTTGCACACATCGGAATTTTTTGAGTCATTACCGGCACAGTGGCACCGTCAGAAACGCCATAAAAAAACACTTTCTTCTTTTCGTACAGACACTGCTTGGACTAACGGGGGATACAGCTAACTACGACTGGATTACAAGACTTCAGCGCCATGACTCTGGAATGATGACAGTCCCGCATCATCACGAGCAGCACACCACTGTGCTGTTATCTAGGCTGGCGGCGGCAATCTTCCTGCCCGTGAATCCAGCTCTTAGGACTGTCACACCACACCGCCCCATCGGCCAACCAGTGACAGCAGTGACATCAAGCCAGGCGTACAAAAGGCCCCGTCCATCACGTGCTCCATTCAGTGGACTCTGTGGCACCGTCAGGACCGCCTATGAAAAACCTCTTTCTTCTTTTCGTACAGGTTAGAAAAGACTGCCTTTTGTCTAAGTGTCACAAAAGTGACGTTCTTTGCTTTGTAGTGCTGCCGAGCCCCGAGTGTATTTTGTGTTGCATTGGTGAATCTTAAAATTTTCGTGCACTGTTGTTGCTTAGCGGTAATATTGAAAAAAATTCAGGCCCTGACACGCTAAACGAGATCCTAAAAGGGGTTACAGAAACAGAGTTCGCAACGATCATTATAAGAAGGGTGGCAAGAAGTACAATCCAGCTGATAAAGAAAGAAGGTACACTAGCATCACTAAAGCAGTACCATAAAAAAGTAGAGCAGTGTGAACAGAATGTCACCACAATGAGCGAAGACATCATGAATCTGAGCAAAAAAACTAGACGACATGGAGAACAGAAGCTGCAGGAATAACATTCTCATTTATCGTTTGGAAGAAAAAAAAGTAATGAAAATAAAAGAGATCTAGAACAAGTGATAGTCAAAGGTGTGTTCAAGGACAAACTCTGAGTGGAAACAAGATCGGTCTAGCGCGTACATTGCAAGAGGAAAAAACAGGCAGACAGCACAAGGCCTGTGATTATAAGGTTTCACAACTTCATAGAAAAGATCACCATTCTGCGTAACTGCAAGAAGTTTAAAAATAGTTCAATATCTATATTGGAAGACTTTTCGGCCTCAGTTCGTGACGTATGCAGTAAACTTTGGCAGTCCTCCAAAGCAGAGAGTGAGAGGGGCAATAAAGTAACACTTGTTTATGATAAACTTAAAGTGAACGACCAACTGTATGTATGGAATGATGATCAAAAATGCCGGCTACCTTTGAACGCCATGTGTTTTGACAACACCAGGAAGACCAGATAAGCTTTAATGCAAGGAGCATTATGAATAAAGCTGCGAAAACTTCAAAAAACTTTGCTGATTCACTCTACTGACATGTCAGTAATAACTGAAACGTGGCCACATGGCGATATTTACGATTCAGAGATAGTTCCACCTTCTTATTCTTTTTTGCGTGCCGACCGAGATAGCCGCAAGGGCGAGGTTGCAATGGCAGTACGCAAGGGCCTATCTTTTCGCAAAGAGCAAGGAATTTCAGATCACGAAGGTTTGTGGTGCACTGCATACGTATGAGTCATCGATGCTTATAGGTGGTATTTAGAGAAACTTAAAACGCGTCCGACGAATACATCACAAGAATTGACGATTTCCTCCACGATAAGTTTAATATTCGAACTAAGCTCATTCTTACCAGCGATCTTAATTTACCCCCTATTTACTGGAATACGTTTACATTTGGTAGTAGAGACATAGTTCTGAGCTGCTTTTGAATTTAGCATTTAGTTTTTCATTATCTCAGCTTGTCAGAGATTCAACACACATTCAGGGGCAGACATTCTCAATGCTAGATCTTTCCTTTGTTTCTAATCCTCTAACAGCCGACGTCAAGCTAGAAGATGGCATATCTCATTACAAACTTATTTTACTAGCAGTCACTATTGGTAATAGCCTACCAATTTCGAAAACATGCGTAGCTGTTAAAAACTACAATAGAGATGCTGATGTTAGGATTATTGACTACCTTGAAGTAGTGTTAGAATGCTTTTCCATTGAAAATCACTGTACAGTGAATATTATATGGCTAAAACTAAAAGACATAATAAAATATTGTAAGGACACATTCGTTCACACACGACTCAAACGTACAAAACGGAGAAACCCATGGATTACGCCCAATAAGATCCACCTGAAAAAGAAGGCTGCAAGGGATGCGAAAGAAAAACCATAATTATGATGATATTCGCCGCCTTTCCATTGAGCTAAGGGCATCTATTAGGAACTCAAGAGATGTTTTCAACGACACTTACAAATTTCATGACCCAGAATCTGCAAAAGTTCTGGCGCTATCTATCCAAGCCCGAGGACCACGCGACTCAGATCAATATAAACGGGACTATCACAGATGAAGCTCACACTATCCCTAACACATTTACCGGGTACCTCCAATCCGTTTTTACACATACTCGTGAGCTTGCAGAGAATGAATCGGCACCGGATTCTGCGTTATCAATTCCGGACCTGGTCATAACCCAAGATGGAATACTTAACTTATTGCTACAGATTGACGTTAAAAAATCTGAAGGCCCTGACAATCTTCCAAATGCTTTTCTTCGGCGCTACGCAGAACAACTGAACTCTTTCATAGATGCAATTTTTGTAGCATGGCTTCAAACAGCCACTTCGCCGATAAACTGGCTTCTTGCCAAGATCCTTCCTATTCATAAAGGGGGCAACAGGCCACTTGTGAACAACTACAGGCCCATCTTCACTGACTAGTTCTCGTTGTAAAATGATGAAGCATATTATCAACAAGGCGATCAGCACCTACATAGAAGACAACAACCTGCTTTACTCCCAACAACACGGATTTGGTAAAGGCCTTTCTACCATAACTCAAGATCTAAAAATTGCGCATGATTTTGCTACCGTAAGTAACTCGAGACCTCAATGTGATGCAATATTTATAGACTTCTATACAGCATTCGATAAGGTACCCCATCATAAACTAATTTACAAACTGAAGGCTATCGAGATTGAAACGAGTATAGTACAATGGATAGACACCTATCTTTCAAACCGCACTCAGTACGTTGAAATGAATGATGCTCAATCTGGAAAGTTAAGACGTTCACTCAGGAGTTCCCAGGGGTCTGTGCTAGGCCCCATTCTATTTTTGATTTTCGTTAACATGCACTATTACGTTAAACCTGAGGTAACAGTGAGACTCTTTGTGGATGACTGCGTCATTTATGCCAAGTACTAACGATAGATAGCCAAATCTGGCTAAATACCTCCGTCACTAATATTTTGAGATGGTGTCACGAGTGGGGAATGGAAATAACTGTAGTAAAAACTTTGTATTTGCATATTACTTGAAAGAGTGTACCCTTGAAGTTTGTTTATCAACTAATGGGACTACACGTAGCTGAGGCCGCTTCAGTAAAATACTTGGGCGTTACCATCACAAACACATTAAAATGGAACGATCACATCAACTAGGCATGCACAAAAGCATACAGATAGTTGGGTTACCTTCGCAGAAAACTTGCTCTAGCAACAGCCAAAGTCAGACTAACAGGTTACAAAGCCCTTGTGTGGCCAATCCTTGAATACAGCAGTATAGTCTGAATCCCACACCAAATTATCTTCTTAACCTACTGGATGGAATTCAAAGTAAAGTGCTTCGATTTGTGTATTCCCAGTATTCACATGGTGTTAGAATAACTACTCTGCATAATAAGACAGACATTCAGATTTTGGCAATCCGGCGTCACATCGCTGCTTTTAAAATTTTTACATCTACTTTATCACGACGGTATCAATATAAACAAGCATGAGTACTTAAAACCACTGTATCAGCGCTCAGCAAGAACAAACCACCACAAGGGTATCGGGTCTTTTATCCCCTGTTGCAATACATTCAAGTGTTCTTATTTTCCATCAATCATTGAACTATGGAATAACTTCTCACGTGATTTAGTGTCCTCAGAATCTGCTCACTCATTCGCTGCCGATCTTGAGATATATTTTGACCAGTAAATAGCGACGTCGTACATAACAGCGCAACTGTTCACAGAATGTACCTCTTTGGTGCTATGCCATCCGCAGTTTTTATTCGTAGGGTTGTCTAATGTGTGTGCTCCCTTGTTAGTCTCTGCTGTGTTCTTTCGCTTTTTTTTTTTGCAATGTGTAGTTTCATCTATCGTATTTACTCGCGTAATCCTCGCACTCACATAATTCTCGCAGCCCCCACAACGCCCAACTAAAATACGATTTCTTTTCTTCCTCGAGTAAATATCGCACCC